TGCTCAAAATAAAAATTAAACAATAATATTACACAAATGATCCATCAGTATCCTGAGCAGCCAGGACATAGCTTTCTGCCTACGACCGATCTATTGGGCTTATCGAAAAAAACAAAGGAAAGGATATACATATAAACTTGTTCAAGAAACATCTAAACATTTCAATAAAGTAAACGTTCAACAAGAAATGATCCTCAATCATACAGACCATTTTAAAGCATAAATTAAAGGATTTAGAGGCACTAACAAGCAGAAGTTTGCAATCTCAACTTACAGAGTTTTTAAATATACTAAAAATATTAACTTTATTAAATGCTCTGTTTCTGCCGGCATAACTGTTTTCTTGTCTTTTTCTATTATCAAGACAGTCCCACAAAGTCAGTTGTCACTACTAAAAGAAACAGCCTACAAAAATATCTTAATAATAAATGATAAAAAAAATTAAGGAATGCATGAGTTTTGTGCAAAAATACGTCCCAGCCGCTTATCAGGAAATTTATAAAACTGTTTTTGGAGATTTGCCCACTGCAGATCAACCTGAAGACGACCCACCCGATTCTTTTTTAGTTTAAAAAAAAAAACAAATAATTTTCCTTTTTTAATAGTTTGGTGCAAAACAGGCAAGTCCAAATTTTCAAATTTTTTTTCAAAATATGTTATTTGCTAAAATGTTACTTGTTTTTCTTGCTAATCTAACGCATTTAGTTTGTTTTACATAAAATTAATCAATTCATTTGATTATATAGATTTATTTCCGAATAAAAAAGTTTTTTCATTTAAAAAAAATGGGCTTGCCTGGTTCTTGCACCAAGGTCTACAATTTTTGCTATAGAGGACTTTCGAGAATAGAAAACAGCCATTAAAAAAAAAAAGGAAAACTAGTGAACCTGAAAATGTGATACTCGAGTTAAAGACGAAGAAACAAGCAAACATTTTTTACAAAACGCTTCAGAATAAGAGGAGAAAAAGGATGAAGAACTGTTGCTGATAGAAATAGAAAAATTGGGACAGAACTTAAAACTAAATAGAGATCTGCAAATCCTCTACTTGATGCAGTCAGATAGGGTCAGAATTGGGAAATGATTAGTTTAGGTGAAACAGCAGGGGCACTAAACAAAATTACTATGGATAATAATCAATTTTGTGATTAATATGTTTCCACACATTCTACTTTGCGGATCGGCTTTGCCGATTGGCCAAGCCGATTCCTGTGAGAAAACGAGCCTTAAGAGTATATAATATTATAAATTGCTTTTTTGAATACCTTTAAAAAACTGGTAAATAAATATAAACTACTTTTAAAAATAGGACATATTTTAGAGCTTGCCCACATGTTCGAAATATATTTGATTTTAATAAAAGATTGAAAAAATGCATTAAGTGTCTTTAAAAGCAAATTCGTAGTCACTGACTATGTAACTAGGAGTTAAAACAGTTGAGGCTTTAAAACTTTTAGGGCACTTCATGTGTCGACATCCGTCAAGGACTATATATATGACTATATAGGGACCGTGCGTGAAATATAGAGGCAGCACTACTGCCGAAGTTAGCCCTCTCTAGTGTTTAATTTTAGAATTAAATGGGGTAAACATTGCAAGTAAATAATAAAGGATATTTTTTAAATTATTAAATATAGTTAAATATAGATACCGGCCCGTACCAAACAATCGAGTACATGGTCAAAATGATATAAAATGTAAAACATTATTAAAATCTGGACATGTATATACATTTTAAGCAAAAAGATTTAAATGGCTAATTGACAATAAATTGTAAAGTTGTACCTTAAACAAGTGTATCCAATGTCAAAATATCGGTATTTAGTAACACTGAATTTAAAAGTATTACAATAACATTTAAAAAATGTAAATTAATAAAAAAGATGGGAATAATAATAATCTTTTTTGCTTTATGTCGAAATGTCATTCATCCACTGACGTTTATGAGACGCCCAATAATATACATATTATAGATTGCTCACCCATCTACAAAAAAAAATTACGAAAAGCGAGTTTCAATGTGCCTTTCCTAGTGCTCACTAAATAGAGCCGTTCTAGCCCAAATGTGTTTTAATATAAAATTTCAGCATTTTAATCTTTAGAAAAAGAAAATAATTAAAGTTTTACTTCAAGACACGTTATTATGTATTTGGAAAGTTGAGTTTCCATGTAGTTAAATAAATATTAAGAGATCTAAACAATTTTTAAAACAGATGGATATAAATAATTTTAGACTACTCTCATTTCAGAAATAACACTACATAAAATACATAATGGCAATATGTAATACAATTTTGAAAAAGAAATGTAAACAACTTTGATATGAGATATAAACAACTTTGGTTAGAGTTGTAATTGGACACATCTATTATTCTGAATAATGTTTAATGGTAATGTCACTAAAAAAAATTACAAAAATTACTGGATTTTTAATATTTTAAAGTTTGTTGCAATCTCTTTTGACAGTACTTGCAATGTATTATTTATAATTTGTTTATTTTAGTAATAAATGAGAAATAGTTAATAAATTGTAAAGAAGGCTATGATATTTTTGTCAAATTGAACATACTTATTTCATAGTAACATTCTACATAGTTTTAATCAACAAAATTATCTGTAAAATTATATTTATATAAAATGTTTATTTAAATATGTAAAAATCTTAATGACAAGAAAACGCTAAAGGTTCTAATTTCTAAACCAGTTCTGTAAATGATTTCTTTACAACTAAGTGCTCAAAATTGATGCAAGCTAGATAAAAAAAAAATTTGCCCAGTGAAATACGCTTTTCGTCGTCTGATTTACATATGGATAACCAATCTATGTAATTATGTATATCATTGGGCGTGAGACACTAATTCTGCTCTGTGGAAATTTATAAAATTTCTTTAGTATTGAATGAAATCCAGGTTTCCAAAGTAATGTGTTCGTACATCCACGGATGCAACAAGTTTTTTAGATAATGATATTACGAAAATAATTCGACTTTATTTAATTAATAATTATTAAACAATAAATGCCATATAAAATATTATTAAATACCCCCACATACTTTGATTTTCTTTTACTATACGGAGAATGGTCGCACTTACGCAGCTTTCTGAGTGCCTTTTAAAAGGAGATAGAAAACTCCGCCATTTTGAACCCTTATTACGTGTTGCCTACATCTTGGCGCAATATTTTTAATAGGTGCGTTTTAATCATCCGCTTCTGCTTCGGAATTGTCGGTTTTCTTGTTTTAATCTGACAGGTTAAAACGACTAAACCGACAATTCCGGAAGCAAAAGCGGATGATTAAAACGCACCTGATATTTTGCTTGCTGCTGTCAGTGTCAGTGAATATTATTTTGGAAGTCACAGTTTATTGCTAAAGAATCAGTTAGCTCACTCGGACCAGTTGAAATTTCCAAAATAACATCCACTCTAGGGATACAAATTCAGGATACGCAGAAGACTGCTGTTTTATTATAGGCGGTTGTTATATATTGTATTATCCGAGTTGCACAGTGTATAAACTGAAACATTGAGATCCAAAGTGCCGACGCAGAGTGAGCGATCTGATTCTTTAGCTGTAAACTGTGTCACAGGGTTCAAAATGGCCGCGCCCTATGTTGGGCGTGTCGGACCTCTCTCTTGCCTCGTATAGTAATCAAAGTATGTGAATACCCCCCATAAAGTTCAAATTTTTTTCACCAGTTAGCGTTAAAGTCATGACGCACGGTCCCTATATATGACTATATAATATGTATCATTGACTCTGTCAATAACTTAGAACATATATAGTCAGGAAGGAGCATGCCATGTCCGCGTTAATCTAATCGACCTGACGAAAGTGGTAGCCATGTTTTACTATGGATGACTCATCATCATATGATAAATGGTTTCTAAAATTGATTTATAATTTTAGTGATTAAAATTTGTTAATAATTTGGATGTTTTATGTGTTAATTTAAACTTTTGTCAAGCGTATGTTTTGTAGACATTTTTAAAAAGTGTTTAGTGTTTTAGAATTTATTTAGTATTACTGTTAATTTTAAATTTTCCGCGTTAAAAGACAAACAAGACAATATGGTCAGTTGTTCGTCTTGTGGATATAGCAGCACAGCTAAAAGTAGAAAGGAATAATTACATTTCATAAGCAAGTATTTTGTTCTCTCAATTTGTAACGATTTAGTTTTTATACTAAGACAAGTACTTTTTGATGGTCCTTTGTATATTTAATTTTAGTTTACGCTTTCTTCTTTATCCAAATAAGGGTGTTTATTTACTTTCTTCGTCTCGTTATATCCCTATGTTCTTTTAGAGTGAGTTCGTATCATTTTTAGTCCATTTAGTTGATCGACCCTAAAATTTGAGTTTTGCTGCTATCATTAAATTAATTACCCTGTCAGTACTTGTTTAGTAGCTAAATATACCTCATACCTTGTATAGTGAATTTCTTCTTTATTCTTTAACTTGTATCGCTTTTTAGAACCTGTAGTTTAAATATTCACTCAAGTTATTAGCGAAATTTCCAATATTCATTTAGTAAATTGTCATAGATTTATATCATCCAATTACATATATTCTCCCAATCTTACAATAAATTTGTTATCTTTTGGTTTTTGGTAAGCTGTAGAAAAGTAATAAATAAACATTTTTGATGTTATTTTTGACGTTTTCTTCAAAATAGTTAGGTTAATGAACTTTTCTTCTTTCTTTTTTTTTGGGCGTTGCTTGTCATTCGGAAATATTACTGCGTTCATTGCAGCTCTGGGTTCGTTCGTTGCAGCTCTGAGTTCGTTCGTTTGATTATTAGAAATTGTGTCACTTCGGAATTGATATTCACCTGTTCCATGACATTCTCGACGTGATTTATCGATTTGTGCGTGTCGAATTTCGGCAGCAATATATGCATCGATTTGTTTTAAAGTGGTATTCTAAATGAAGACAACACCCTTCGTTACTATTAATTTTTGAGTGGCGAATAGTTCTGGTATTTACGAATTCGAGTTCTGGTAATTTTGGTTTGTTAGCACGTGTAATTTGTTGATTGGTCAGTACGACTTTTTGAGGTTAGATGACGACTAGATCGAGAGGTAATTGGTCGCTAACGTTCGGTCTACGGCAATGTCTCTCAAACAATTGAGAAGGTGAAGCCAGTTTGGTTTCAAAAAGAACGTTTGTTGGATATAGCTAAGTTGGACGGTTTTGCTTTTGGCTGTTAAGCATCCTTGGGATTACGGAAGATTTTTGTGGTTTGTGAGCCATCTTCGTCTGGGAGGATTAGTCCCCGTTTTATCCATTACTGTGAGGGCATTTGGTTTGGTGCCTGTGATTTGTGAAATAGTGGTTGAGTTTTGTCGGCCGCCATTACCTCGCAGCAACCTCGTGTTGGATTTTTGAATTGGATAGCTGGCCCATTTGGAAAACACCTTGGCCATAACCGCTGTTCACGCTTATGCTCGTTTGGTTTGGATTTGGAGCCTTTTTCTGATTAAAAGGGTAAGTTTTTGCAATAACCTTTTTTTATCCTTTTCTCTAGTCGTTGAAGGGTATATATAAATTCTTTGTTAATATTGTGGGTGCTATTTGGGTTCAACTCATTATTGAGTAGGTTTATTTTGTTTTGTTATCTCATACATTTGTATAGTAAGTTTTTTTTTTATTTTACTATTAGTATATTTTAAATTAAAAGGGTGGCTGCAGTTAGTGGTATTTTTTGTAAATATCTGTTTGCAAGGAATAGCTTAGTGAGGCCTTAATCGGTTTTATTGGCTATTTCAGGTTTCTTGGAGAGGGCATAGAAAACCCCATTTATGTACATTTCTTAGAGGGGGTGTAGAAGATCCCATTTGCATACATTTCCTGGAGGGGTATAGAGAGCCCTATTTGTATACATTTTTTGGAGGGGGTATAGGAAACCCCATATGGAATTGGAACATTTGGTGCATATGGATATAAGTAAATAAATTCTTTACTAACTATATCATGTGCCGTTCTTTCGTATAATAGAAGTTTATTGTATGAATGTGATGCACCATATATAATTTATTACAAAGTTATTTACAAAAACGAACACAAACAGAATTAATAATATCTCAAGTAAGGAAATAAGTAGCATATTGCATGCCTCAATATACTGTCTTAGGTCCTATCTTGTTTAATTTCATTTTAAATAATTTGTCGTTTAAATATAGATGGAAATATTGTAAGTTTTTCAGACGACACAGTTATTCTGTAAAAGGCAGAGAACTCAAATTGATTAAAATTATTAATAGAAACAGATCTTATAAAAATTTTTAAATGGTTTAATTATAAAAAACTTTGATAAAACTTATGTTGTTCCATTATACAGTTACAAAAATATGGCTTCTTTCTATAGAAACAATAAAAGGTAACGTTCAGTAGTTTCATATAAGTGTTACAAATGATATCAAATACCTTAGAGTACAAATTGACTCTCATCATAACTGGACTAAGCATACAAATAATTATGAATGTACATTTAAAAATAATCTATTTTGCATTCATAGAATCATTATTAGTTAAAGGATCCTTCCTTGAAAAGGTGTTTTACCTGCTTATGCAAAATTGTCCTGCAAAAAATATTACTAATAATATTATCTAATAAAATGATCAGAAATTCTCTTCGATATTAGGAGGTGTTTGACCTAAATATATGTATAGGATATTTAATTTTTTTTTACGCATTTCTACAAAACATATAGTTTTCAAACCTTAATAATTTATAAAATGTAGATTAATAAAGACATTGTCATAATAAAGACGTAAAAAAGTCAATATTTTTTTTAATACATTATTGCTTTGATTTTTCAACTGAAATCCCCCTATAAATGATCCCAAAAATATTTTCCTATATTTATCCCACCCAACATGTAATTAATAAAGTAAAATATATTCACATAATAAAGGTTAATAAAAAAATGTAAACTTCTCGCAAGAAAATAGCAATTCGTTAAAATGAGAGAAATCGGTAAATTTAGATAATATGCAAATGCGAATTTATTATTTTATTTTCTATGCCCCTTTATGATAGTACGTCACTGGTAGACTGGAAACACTTGTCGCCATATTCGTCTAGTTCACTGTCAAAATTAGATACCACCGCGATTTCAAGATCGTTTAGGATTCCTCCTTCCTGACTATATATATTCTAAGGTCAATAACAACTGGTCCACAAGGTTGCCATATCTAAACTGTCAGTTCCCACTTCTCAGCATTTTGAAAAGTCGTTGGAATGCCTAATGACCGTTTGATTGGCAGTTTATTTCATTATTAACATCACCAATTTCGACTATGAAAAAAGTCTGCAAAAGCATTTAAAATATCTTGGGGATAATTGTATTCTACATCATTAAGTTTAAGGACTTCTAACATCCTAGAGTTCCTAATATGACTTTATTTTATGTAATTCTCCGCCGGTGTCTTTTTTGTCTTTATAAAACATTTAGCATAGTTATCTCTTTATAACACATCTTGCATGGTTAATTCAATAATTTTTAGTCAGCAATTAGAAAACATTACACCACCTAAAATATTATCATTCATCTTATTCGTCTCCATTCTCTTTACTTAAAGTTTTTAAAGTTTCATATAAATACCTTAACCAGCACTTATATCCCTAATGCATAAAATGGTTGAACAATGTACGAATATTTGACTCGATGTGAAGGTATTAAACGAGTATCTAGAATTCCAAATGAAGTTTGCAGAATGGATAAGACGACGGTATAAAATAAGCGAGGCTGAAATATTTTATAAGAGAGAAATTTTTCCAAGAAATATTAGCGAAAAAGAATAAATTTGCAATTTAAATTTTTTATGTCCAGTGTTTAAATATGTAAATTTAAAAATAAAAGAAATTTTGCAGTTTTTTATTTAAAATCAATAATGGTTAGGATTTTCAATTTAAGATTAAACCAAGATTGACGATTAGATTCATGTTAAAAATGAATAATTAAAATAAAATACGAATTCAGCATTCTGTTCGGGTTTCCAAATAACAATTTGAAATTTCATAAAAGCTAAAAGAATGTTTACAAAACAAAATTTGTCAAACATAATAGTAACTAATGGGTTGTTGCACTGAATATTAACTAACAAAGGATTAATTAAACCGGTTTTAAAAATAATCTTACTGTTGGGGTCAAGTGTTATTCCCTTACATTTTAAACACATTCCTTCAACTGTAGTGGACTGCTGAGAGGAACAGTAATGGCTTTTTGCATAGATTTAAATAAAATAAAAAGACGGCAACATTTAACTCCGTCTAATTTCAAAAAACCATAGAGAACTTGTACATTGCAACACAAAACTATATTTTCAATCCTAGTTAGAAAAATTAATTGCAGTTACGCTAGTTTTTCATTTTAAAAATTTGTATAATAAAATTAAACATGGCGACCTGACGCCTATTTAAGGAATAGGTAAAAAGTAAAAAACAAAGCGGCCCGTTTGAGTGAGAAGAAACTTCTTAAACAAAGCCGGTTGAAGCAAAATCGCGCGAAAAACTCTTGGCTTCGCTTCGGTGCTTCTGACCAATCGCTTGTAAGGAACCATCTACATGATAGCTTTCTATTGGCCACTGCTAAAAAACAACCAAAGCATTGTCTGAGGTATGTAGATGATACATGTGTAATCTGGAGCCACGGGAGAAAAATCTCCAGAATTCCCTAAACAACCTCAACAGTTTTAATCCTAAAGTCCAGTTTACCATGGAAATAGAAGAAAAACGACAAATTCCTTTCCTAGATGTGTTACTCAGCCAAGAAGACAATAAACAAGGCCCTAAAGCATACAGAAAGAAGAAACACACTAATCGATACCTACAATATGGATCCAACCATCATCCAAAACAGAAACGCATGGTTATTAACACTTTAGTAAACAGAGCGTTAAGCATATGAGAACCAAAACACATCAACGATAAAATAAAATACCTGACAACAGTGTTACAAGCAATCTGATACAGCAAAGAAGACATAACCCATGCTACGCTTCCAAGGGAGAATAAGACCAAGTCTAGTGAAGAACAAAACCGATAAACTTTCTATCTACCGTAGCAGGTGTCACTGACCGAATTTAAAAAATCCTCATGAAAAAATCATCACTGTCTACACAAGCCAACAAAGAAAATAGAGGAATATCTTGAAACAGAGACATATTTCCTCACATCAACAGGAGTCTACAGAATTCCATGCACTTGTGGAAAAGTACACATAGGACAAACAAAGAGAAGCATGGGTAGACGACTAACAGAACACAAACCAAGTTGTCGTCTAGGACAAACCAAAAAGTCTGCAGTCGCCGAACATACATTAACCGACCGAGAACACAAGATCCTTTTTGAAAACTACTAGCAAGATAAGACATTACTCGACCAGATTATACTTGGGGGCTATAGAAATACACAAACGTCAAAAGAATTTCAAAAGGAAGGAAGGAAAAATAACATTACCTAGAATCTTGATACATCATTAAAAAGTGCAAAATTAAAACCGCATATTACCAGTAACGCCAAAAAAGAGCACGCAGATACGTATATAAATACCACACTCAGAGCGAAGGAGGATTCAGTTTTAGTTATTATGCCGAGAAGAGTACTTTGTTTATTCCGCTGAAAATAGCTACCACAGTTGCAGCTTGCAGCTGAAAAATACCACGGCATAATAGACCGGAAACAAACAATTACACAAACCTAATAGTAACTAAAGTTTACCACCGTATTAAAACGGTATTATTAAGTAAATAATATATTCGTAATTTAAACATTGTAGAATCGTTGTAACATCTATATATATTGTATATTTTAAAATTACTTAATTTAGTTATGTTTCTTGAAAATTAGCGTTGAAATTAGCGTTGTTACAACTCTAGTTAAATCTTAATTGGATCGGTGGAATCGGTGTATAAGGCGCTCGCATTTATTTGCGCGCAGTTTTGTAGATGAGAGACACCCGGCTTCGAATCCTACAGAAGACCATACTACAATATGAAAATATAAAACGCTTGCTTTTTACATTTAGTTTCGTCCTAATACTTACATAGTGGACAATATGAAAACAATATCATTATTATCTCAAAACTTTCCTCAGGTCAGATAGGACATTTTAGCTAAGCAGGGCAGTATAAAAATCGCCATGCGTTACATTTTTTTTTTTTTTTTGAGTACTTTATTGTATCTAGAATACGATTACATTACGGAAAATTCTGCAAAAATATTTGATCTATTTTTTGACCATTGTTCATTGAGTGACGACCAAAAAACACGGTTTTTGAGAAAAGTTGCCTAAAATTTTTTGGTCTGAAAATTGAGCAAACCCAAATGTCATGTCTTACACTGCATTTCTGTAATTTGATTTTTTTGTGATTTCCAGTTTTAAATTTCTTACATACCTAAATTTATTAGGCCTAAAATTTATTAAATTGTATTTAACTAACTTGTTATAAGACGTTTCTTGAGTTTTGTGCAAAAAATAGAA